CGCCGATGACGCCGACGCCAACGCCGACGCTGGAGCCGACGCCACCGCCGACGCCGCCAGCGCCACCTGCGCCGACGCTGCCTGCGTGCGGCGGCCGACGGCGTCGGCGTCGGCGTCGGCGGCGGCTGCGGTGCCGCAGCCGCGGGGCCGAGCGGTTCGGCGGCGAGCGACGCCCAACGCCTCGAGTGCCCCGATGGGTTCTCCCCCCCCCCCCCGGCCACCCCCCCCTGCCCCTACCTCTGCCCCTCACTCTCTCCCTCTAGGCCTCCCTCCTCCTCCTCCTCCTCTTCCTCCCTCTTCCTCCTCCTCCTCCTCCTCCTCCTCCTCCTCCTCTCCTCTGCCCCCGCCCTTCTCCTCCTCCTCCTCCTCCTCCTCCTCCTCCTCCTCCTCCTCCTCCTCCTCCTCGTCCCCCCCATTCTCCTCCTCACGGGCCAGACCGAGGATCAAACCCACCCGAGGACGCTGCGTGTTAACACCATCGGCTCACTGATTGGCACTGTCTGGACATCTCTGGCTCCGACCGCCCTGCACTGGAAAATACTGCGAGCGCTCCGCCAATCATCTTTACAGCGCGCGCAGACGACGGCAGACAATGCATGAAAACACCTCAAGAACCTCACCGCCCGTTGAAAGAGGCACGCAAGCGGGGGTGGATAGGATAACCTGTAGCATTCACACGCTTGGTGTTTTTGCGAGCTGCAAACAGCTTCGTACATATGTTGTCGGATTGAGGGTGATGGCGGTGCGCAAAGATGCCCCAAAGGCATGAAGCAAGCGTGGGGCGACCATAGGGAGGGAACAGTACCTCGGAGACACCTTTTCTCCTCCTCCTCCTCCTCCTCCCTCCTCCTCCTCCTCCTCCTCCTCCTCCTCCTCCTCCTCCTCCTCCTCCTCCTCCTCCTCCTCCTCCCCCCCCCTCCTCCTCTTACCCGAAAGGGGCAAAGAAAGTAAACCCCGTAGGTGGTCTAACGACATTCTCAGTTTCCCTTCTCAAGCCCTCCTCCCTTCGGGGATGAGTACCGCCGCCATCCCCTCAGGGCTGCTTTTCGGTAAAGTTCGCGATGTATTAGAGGGTCTCTTGTTTGGCACAAGATGGATCCAAGAAGGCCCCCAATGCTCCAAGATGGTCTCCAAGAGGGCTCAGGATAACCGCTGATGGTTCACAACAGCTCCCGGCACGCTGTTATGAGGATAGTCCCGAGCGCCCTCGGAGCCCCCCAAGGACCACCCCCGAGACGTCAGAATCATTCAAAAGAACATAATAACATAAATAGTGTGTGCCGTCTCATCTGTTTGGTGTCAATGAGTTGTTGAAGGCTCAAGATGGCCCCAAGATGCGCCAAGAGAGCCCCAATAATTGCCCAAGATGCCCCCGAGATGGCCCCAAGACCCAAGAGCGCCCAAAGAGGGCATCAAGAAGGCCCCGAAAAACGTACTCCTGAGTGGGGGACCTTAAGCAAGGAACCTCCATTCGTTTGATCGACGTCCTCCTAGATGGCCCCAAGATGCCCCAGAGCAACCAACAGGCCCCCAAGAAAACTCCACGAGGGGCGCCAAGACCCCCCAAAAGACCCCAAGAGGATTCGAAGACTCCCAAACATGACCCGAAGAGGGCCGCAAGAAAGGGCCTGCTCGGCCTGCTCGCGGGCTTTCCTTTAACAGCTGTCTTCTGCATGGACATTGTTTCTGAATCGGCTGGTGGGGATATGCGAATCGTCAACGAGTATATCAAGGGGCTACAAGAGAGGCGAAGCGGACGTAGGCGAGGGCACAGGTGAAAAGCACGAGCGCCTTCTTGTAGAAGTCTGCCAGCACCTTCGTCGCAGAGGCGATCGCGCTCTGTGCCGCCTTGGCATCCTGGCAGGGCGTGGGGGCAAGCAAAGGTTGCACATAATACCGACCGCGATAGAACCTGTCTGGGCCTCCCACAGACTGGCTGAACCCCGCGGCAACCAAACAGCGATGTGAAGCGCAGCGGCATGACTGTCCAAAGACGGGATGACACAACATGGCCCCGATGTGATGACAGACGCCCACGCACACAACCAAAGGGCTGCTCTGACCTCCAACTTCACCAGTCCAGAGCCCCGCCCCACATGCGACGTGCAAGAATGACCAATCAGTCGCATCCGACCTTATGTCGCGAAGATCTGCACCCTTTGCGAAGAGACACCGAAACGCACAACACGGGAATGGCAAGCAAGCGCCCATGCCAGCCGACCGTTGAGAGCCCAGCTGCAGCGATGCGAGATGCCTCTGCCAAGGGCGACGACGCCAAGCTAAGCACCCGTGCGAGCGACGACGACGAGTGACACGCACGCCCCAGCTTCTGCACGAGGGGGCGGCGAGGGACGGGCGCAAGGAGGGGGGCGAGCCTCTCGGAGCTGTGGCAGGGGGAGCAGGAGGAGGGGGAGGAGGAGGAGGAGGAGGAGAGGAGAGGAGGAGAGGAGGAGGAGGAGGAGGGAGGCGGAGGAGGAGGACAGGGGGAGAGGAGGAGGGGGAGGAGGAGAGGAGGAGAGGAGGGGGGGGCGGGGGCATGGGGCAGCCAGGGCGCGGGTGCAGCGGGAGGAGCCAGTGCCGAGAACGAGCGGGGCACGAGCGACGGCGAGCAGGCAGTAAGTAAAGGTAGAGCTCCAAACGAGCAGCTGCGGGCGGGGGGGGGGGACCAGAGGGGCCAGGGTCATGCTAGGCGCGCCTGCGCCGTCTCTGACATCCTGCCCCTCTCACCAATCCCTCTCCAATGCGCTGATGGTTTCTCTATCCGCGGACGCGTGTTGCAGCGGACCTGGAACTGCCAAAGAGGCCCCGTTGTGCTATGCACAATCGGAAAGGGGACGATGCGTACATAGGCGGGGGAGGATGAGGAGGAGGAGGAGGAGGAGGAGGAGGAGGCTGATGAACATAATACTGAGCAGAGGGGAAGGAGAAGGATGAGGAAGGGGGACAACGAGGACGAGTAGCAGCAGCGGGAACTGAAGTAGGTTGAGCGGGAGGAGCAGGAGGACCCGGGGAAGGCGGAGGAGAGGAAGGGAAGAGGGCGACAACGATGAGGAATGACTCGGATCCAGAAAGGTGGCCCGCGTTGGGACGAGAGCGCAATTCTGAACGATGGGGGCAAAACCGCGATCCTAAAATGATCGCCCGCTGCAGGCGAGAACATAATTTCAGAAGGACCGAGAACCTTTGGATTGGAAGCGCACATACGAGCAAAAAACGATACGATGCGCACGAAACGATACGCGGAGGGGGGGCGGGCGACTCCCCGGCCGTCGTCGGGGCAGAGAGGATACTGGTATTCATGCCAGGCTAGGCGTACTCGCGTCATATCTGACGTCCTACCCCTCCCTCCCATCCCTTACCATTGCGCAGGATCCCTCCTCTACTCGCAGTCGGACGCCGAAGAGGGCGATGACCCCCACAGGGTGCGCGACGTATATCATTGCAAAGCATGGCGTATGACAGCTCCTCTGAGCGTGTCACGGGATGGCACGGTATTGCATGTCATAATGAAGTGCTGCGTGCACATACGACCACCCTTTTAGTGATAAGAAGGTTGTGTGGGGGGGAGTTCAGCTTTCGGTGTGCGATTGGGGTCGGATCGGATTCGACGAAAACCATCTGGACACCACGGGACACCTGTTTGACCATCTATGCATCGATCTCACTCTCCATCTACCTATCGATCTCACGATCGGTCTCCCCTTATCTATCGATATCACTATCGATCGATCTCACAATCGACCTCAATATCGATTTGTCTATCAATCTCACTATCGATCTCACAATCGACCTCACAGGACACCACGGGTCACCATGGGACACCGTGCAACGGGACACCACAGGACACCACGGGACACCGCGCCACGGGACACCGCGCCACGGGACACCGCGCCACGGGACACCACGAGACACCACGGGACACTGGCGGGACACCGGCGGGACACTCCCGAGCCACCGCCGGCAAACAGGGGGGCGTAGAGTCATTGAACTCAGTTTCGCCCTGGCCACTGCGGGTTCATTCCTCTCGCCCGTCCACGCAGCTTCGTCTTCCCCGTACGAGCGACACGAACACGAAACCCAAACCGCATTCCCGGTAGGGGGCCTCCGCTTCACTTCGAACTCCCCCCCAACCTCCGATCATAGCATTGCAGCGCAAGGCATCGCATAGAAGCGTTGCACATGACATAGCATTGTATGGCATGCCATGGCACAGGACAGTATTGCATGGTATGGCACAACGTAGCCTAGCATTGGATACAAAAAGAATTGCAAAGCCAGACACGGAATGACATAATAGCGATACATAACACAACGTTGAACTGCACGTGTGAAAAACAACAACAACAACAACAACAACAACAACAACAACAACAACAACAACAACAACAACAACAACAACAACAACAACAACAACAACAACAACAACAACAACAACAACAACAACAACAACAACAACAACAACAACAACAACAACGACAACGACAACGACAACAACAACAACAACAACAACAACAACAACAACAACAACAACAGCAACAGCAACAACAACAACAACAACAATACGCGACGCCCGGCGGAGAGGGCGGGACATCTTCCAGACAGGGTCAGAGGAGAGAGGAGAGTAGCATTGACAACATGTCATTGTCCAGGGTCAGGGGGAGGGTCCAGCGCAGGGGTCCTGGGCCAGGAGGCGGTGGCAGAGGACGAGCGAGGACGATCGGAGAACGAACGAGACTAAATGACTTCGAGCTCCGGAACACAGCTGCACAAAATAATGAAATTGGGAGGGTGAAACCGAAGAGGTACAGGATAACGACAAGTGAAGAGCAGCGCAAGATGGCTGACGAATGCGGGGATGCAATCAACAGATACGTCACGCTGAGCTGCACACACGGGGGCCGTGGAAGAATGTTCCCAATACTTGCTGCGATCAGTATGCAGCACGACCATCTCGCAACACAAAGTGACTGAATCGGACAGGATCCTCCACGGTGAGTGCGTTAGTCTTCTTCTCCTGCGCAAGGAGGGATCACAGACACAGCAGAGGAACAAAATCACTGTCGAACTTGAACAGCAGACGCGGATGAGGCACCAAGTCACTGAAAGGATGACGACTGAGATGAATGGATCGGTCTCTGCACTCTGAATATCTACATTCCCCGACCGCTGCTTGCACCAAAGGGGTCTTTGCGGAGTATGTGAGGATGTGCCGAAGGTCGACCGCCGAAAGCTGGTATTCACATGCCCTTGCTCGAGCGGATGCCAGGAGCATTTGGCCGACATTCGTCGGCGAACTCGGTCGGCGGCCGGGTTCCCGGTTGCTTTGTTCCGGGTTCCCCCGGGCTCCCGATTCCCGATATCTGGGTTGGGGTCGTGGGTTTCCTATTGTGGCAAGGTTCCCAGGGCCTCGGAAGTGCAGGCGGTGTAGAGAGCACGTGGGAGAAAGCGGAGAGTGGAGAGAGCAAGACAGACCGCTGATGAAAAGAAGCGGCGAGCAGATGGCATCGAGCAAACAGTAGAGAGGCGATAGTAGAAACCAGGGGCTCGAGAGTGGAGGATAAGGGGTCGATGGTGGACTCAGTGCAGAGAATAGAGTGTACGGGACCTAGACAGCAGAGTACATAGTAGAGAGTGGCGAACGTAGATCAGGGAGGGGCGAGCATAGTAGAGGGCAGAAGGGGAACGAGCAGAGGGTGCCGCACTCGTCGCCTCATGTGCACCACCTGCGCGCTGCTTTTCCTTGCTCTGGACTGGCAACTGACTGAGTGGGGATTGTCAGAGATGATACAAGGACTCATTGAACGCGCGAGCATAACAGTATTAGCACCAAACGGATCAGCGCGATGCACACCCATGGCGATGTACGGTGTCTACGTCACGTTAGTTGCCGTTTTGGGGGATTCCGCTGGGCGACCATCCCTGGATTGCTGAACAAGATGAACCTCCCTTCCACATGATGGTGATATGGAACCTCGCTTGGACATCCCTGCGACAACGACTCACAGACATCGATCACGCTAGAGAGGGGACCACTGGGGTCTGGCGGCCGCGGTATGCGGGTGTGTTCTGTCGTGTTTGTCGAGTGCGCGTGGCGGGATAACCGGGACTCTGGGGACAACTTGGGGTCTGGCGGCCGCGGTATGCAGGGTGTGTTTTGTCGTGTTTGTCGAGGGCGCGAGGCGGGATAACCGGGACACTCGGGACAACTTAGGGTCTGGCGGCCGAGGTATGAAGGGGTGCAGTGGCAAGGAGGTCTGTTCTTAAAATCTAACGACCCCAACCTGTCCGGTGGGGAACAAGCACAACAACATCACCAACAACAACAACAATTACTAGCACGTGGGGACACTCCGTTCTCACCAGTGCCAGGGTTTTCATAGGAGGCGGGCCGCAAAAGCCCGTTTGACAGAAATGTTTAAAAAGTGTTGGGTTTCCTACGAATCCGCAAGAGCGCGCGGGATGAGATTTTGACAATTTGTTGTTGAAAAATCATTGTTTTTTTGATGTTTTTATGTTAAAATCGCTGCGAACACTAAGGTTTTGGAAGGATTTCGTCTTGCGCGCGCGAATGTCCACTTTACCTTATTTTTTGCAAGGGATTCTTGAAATTTGATTATATTAGAACAAGAAATGTCATTTTCTATTGTTTTTTGCAAGGGAAAGCGGATTACAACAAAACAACCGGATCCTGTACACACCCTCTTTTCTGAGGCTTCCTCACGAAAATGATGAAAATGTAGCTGCGGCCTAGGCGGCGCAGGGGGGGCGCGCACCAGGGGGCCCAACAATAATTATTCTTTAGAATAAATAATGTTCAACAACAGCAACACCAACAGCAGCAACAGCGACAACCACACCACCAACACCAACAACAGCAAAAACACCATCGAAATCAAGAACAACAATACCACCAACATAAACAACAACAAATAACAAGTAACAACTACAATAATAACAACATCGGCATCAACAACGCAACACTGCGGGACCCCGCTTCAGTCACGCACCCAGGAACAGTGGATGGCCGTTCAGCCTCATCACTGTACATATGTGTCCCTCTCTCTCGTTATCTACCTCTCTCTCTCGGCGTGTACCCCTATATGTCTCTCTCGTTCCTCCCTCTCCCTATATTCCTGTATACATGCCGCTCTCGCCTATCTTGATATCAATAGTTCCCCTGATCCTCCTATTCCCAAATTCTTATCCTCCAACCCCTCCTCGCCATTGTTCTCGTCGTCCTCGTCTCCCTCGTTTCCCTCCCCCTCACTTCATGCTCATCTGACTCCTCCGACTCCCCAATCCTTCTCCTCCCCTGATCCTCCCCTTCAGGAGCCAGCCGCAGTCTTCAAAAGTGGCATCAGCATACTTGGATAGGAAGCGCGCTGCAGCGAGTCCACATGGCAAGTGTCTGCGCTATTGTAAACACTGGGAGTGGTAGCGCGGACGGACAATGATCAACAACTGGAACGCGATGAGGACGGAAAGCGAACAATGACCGGAAAGGGAGGAGCGCGGGGGGAGGGACAGATGGAGGATGGAGGACCGAGGAGCCAGGCAGGGTGGGGCAGGAGGAGGGAGAGGAAGGAGGAGGAAGAGAAAGAAGAGGAAGAGGACAACAAGAAGGCTGAAGAGCAGGATGAGGGAAGAGATGGAGGGAGGGAGGGAGGTGAACGGTCGGAGGTGGAGAAAAGGGTTGGGGCAGAGGGTAGGGAGTAGTGAAGGGAATCGGTGGAAGAAGGCTGCGAATGTGTGAAAGAGAAAATGGTGCGAGGAAGAGAGAGAGAGAGAGAAAGAGGTGTGCTGATATATATATATATATATATATAGAAGAGGAAGGGAGAGAGAGGAGATTGAGCGAAGGAGAAACAACAATTAGCCTGGCGAAGGACCCAACCATGTGCAGTTGTTAGCACCGTCGTTGTATGCACCGCATTCGGAGGAGCTCCCCATGAAGCCACGAAACGTGTGAAGGGGGCCAAAAATTGTCCGGTGGGCGCATGCGAGAGCAGCCACTTGTGCCGTCGGTGGAATTCCCTATGGGGCCACGAAACGCGTGCGGGGTGTGCCGAAATGGGTGCGGTGGGCGCATGCGAACACAGCCACTGGCGCCTTCGAGGGAGCTCCCTACGGGGCCACGAAACGCGTGAGGGGTGTGCCAGAATATGCGTGGGTGACGCATGCGAGCGGTGGTACCGGGGCCTTCGTTGGAGCTCCCTATGGGGCCACGAAACGTGTGATGGGTGTGACGAAATGGGTGTGGGTGACGCATGCGGGCGGTGGCACTGGGGCCTTCGGTGAGGCTCCCTTTGGGGCCACGAAACGTGTGAGCGGTGTGCCAGAATGGGCGTGGGTGACGCATGCGGGCGGTGGCACCGGGGCCTTCGGTGGAGCTCCATATGGGGCCACGAAATGTGTGAGCGGTGTGCCGAAATGGATGTGGGCGACCCATGCGGGCATAGACACTGGGCCTTCGGTGGAGCTCTCTATGAGGCCACGAAACGTGTGAACAGTGTGCCGAAATGGGTGTGGGTGACGCATGCGGGCGGTGGCACTGGGGCCTTCGTTGGCGCTCCCTGTGGGGCCAAGAAACGTTTGACGGGTGTGACGAAATTGGTGCGGGTGACGCATACGGGCGGTGGCATTGGCGCCTTCAGTGGAGCTCCCTACGGGGCCACGAAACGTGTGAGGGGTGTGCCGCAATGGGTGTGCGTGACGCATGCGGGCTGCGCCACTGGGGCGGTCGGTGGAGCTCCATATGGGGCAACGAAACGGGTGAGGGGTGTGCCGCAATGGGTGTGCGTGACGCATGCGGGCTGTGCCGCTGGGACCTTCGGCGGAGCTCCCTATGGGGCCACGAAACGTGTGCGGGCTGTGACGACATGGGTGTGCGTGACGCATGCGGGCTGCGCCACTGGGACCGTCGGAGGAGCCCCCTAAAGGGCCACCAAACTTGTGAGGGGTGTGCCGAAATGGGTGGAGCTCCCTATGGGGCCACGAAACGTGTGAGCGGTGTGCCGAAATGGGTGTGCGGGTGTGCGTGACGCATGCGGGTATTGCCACTGTGGCCTTCGGTGGAGCTCCCTATGGGGCCACGACCATCGTGATGGGTGCACCGACGATGATGATGACGAGGATGATGATGATGCTGACGGTAATGATGATGGCGGCGATAACGACGATGATGACGACGATGAATGTGATGATGACGATGAGGATGATGATTACGGTATCGATGATGATGATGATGATGATGATGATGATGATGATGATGATGATGATGATGATGATGATGATGATGATGATGATGATGATGATGATGATGAGGATGATGGTGATGAGAAGAGGATGTAGGAGGAGGAGGAGGAGGAGAGGAGTGACGCGGGGCGCTGTCTCTTCAAAACGAGGACCCAACACCACAGGATGGTTGGGAAAACAAATGGCGAGGATGTGGGATGATAATGTCCGTGACAAGAATGCTGGCACGAAAGACAAACTCGGTGAAAACTCGAAGGAGGCTCGCCTTCTCGCGGAATTCCGTGGCCTCTGCCATGGCGGACTTCAGCTCCGCGACCTCCTTCGTGAGAGCCTGCGCCGGTGTAGTTCCCCATTGCTATGATAAAAATAAGCCGAATGCATTGCAGATCTTTGAACTTCGTCAGGTGGTCCAAAGCTTCTGCTCACCCACAAGGCATATCGGGGGATCAGACGCTTCCGTGGGGAACCTGCTGGCCGGTCGGCTTCTCGTGTGATGCGCCTGCTGCGCCCGCTCCTCCGCTGGACGCGACGAAGCGTCCGTACCCGCTGGATGCATTCAGGCCGTGGCCTGCCTGGAGAGCGGCGCGCAGGCCTCAAACCGAAGCTCAGGCTCGGGCGCGTCGAATCCGACGCCGCGAACGGCGGACGACGTTAGGGAGACGCCGCGGCGCAGATCTCACACGCGAGAGGGCCATCCACGGGGGCACGAGACGCTGCAGCGACGTCCAGGCGTGAGGGCCCTCCTGCTGCTGCTGCTGCTGCTGCAGATCCTCTTCTTAATTTGAGAGCCGCGCGTCTATACTGTTCCGTCGGCGGCGAGACCGAATGGCTGCACCAGCGACAAAGCTAAACGGGGGCACAGAGAAGCGAATTGCCCAGCATGCAGGAGAGGGGAAACGGAGCGGACGGACAGGGCGGCCGCGGAGGAGGAAGGAGGAGGGGCCGCGCGTATGTACAGTAAGGTATCTGGGCCATGTCTCATGGGTCTTCGTAGGAACGCCACAGGACAACGTGTAGTGTATGATTTCCTGGCTGGTTCTCCGGGCGACAGGTGTCGAAACGCACACGTATGTTCGCTGTGCTTGGGCTGCCAACTGCCCCTGGCTGGCGGGCATACATAACATCGTATGGTGGACATGTTCCTGGCCCTGGTAGTTCCTCGATCGGGTCACCTACCTCCGCGCATCGCGCTCGGCGATGCGCGACGCGCGCGGTGATGCTTGTATCATTGCACCCACGCCCCGCCCTCCGTGGGGGAGGGCAGCTGCTTCAGACCGGACAGCGCGTCGCGAAGCGTGGTTATCTTCGCGCCCCCTGGGTGTAAGATGTTTGGGCTGTACGCCACAATCACTCGCCGGCGCCACTAGCAACACCCGTGGCCGTCGCCCTCCCTCGTTGGGGAAAGGCCTCCTCCCTTTCTCGCTGGCTTTCACGAGGGCCAAGGAGCCGGCGAATTTTGAAGCGTGGGGGAAAACTGACCAGCTTTGAAATAGATACCCGGTGGTCAAGTCGCTGTGGATCGCCCCGTGCGATGCACATGCGAGGAGAACCAGGACGAGCAGAAGGCCATCCTCCGTCATCCCTCCAATCCTCCTCCTCCTCCTCCTCCTCCTCCTCCTCCTCCTCCTCCTCCTCCTCCTCCTCTATCCACCCAGGTCCTCCTCCTCCTCCTCCTCCTCCTCTTCCTCGGCCTCCTCCTCCTCCTACAACTCATCCTCCTCCAACTCATCCTCCAACTCATCCTCCCTCCTCCTCCTCCTCCTCCTTCTCCTCCTGCTCCTCCTCCTCCTCCTCCTCTCCCTCCTCCTCCTCCTCCTCCATCCACCCAGGTCCTCTCCTCCTCCTCCTCCTCCACCTCCTCCTCCTCCAACTCTCCTCCTCCAACTCATCCACCCTCCTCCTCCTCCTCCTCCGCCTCCTCCTCCTCCTCCTCCTCCCCTCCTCGCTCCTCCTCCTCCTCCTCCTCCTCCTCCTCCTCCCCCTCCTCCCCTCCTCCTCCTCCTCCTCCTCCCTCCTCCTCCCTCCTCCTCCTCCAACTCCTCCTCCTCCTCCTCTCATCATCCTCCTCCTCATCCCTCCTCCCTCCCTCCCCCTCTCCTCCCTCCTCCTGCTCGTCCGCCGGCCCTCCTTGGGGGCCTGGCTCCGAAGATTGGAACCCTCATGCTCCTTGCCTCTGCCTCCTCTCCTCCCCCTCTCTTCCTCCTCCTCCACCTCCTCCACCTCCTCCTCCTCCTCCTCCTCCTCCTCCTCCCCTCCAACTCCTCCTCCTCCTCCTCCTCCTCCTCCTGCCTCCTCCTCCTCCTCCTCCTCCTCCTCCTCCTCCTCCAACTCATCCTCCTCCTCCTCCTCGGCCTCCTCCCCTCCTCCTCCTCCTCCTCCTCCTCCTCCTCCTCCTCCTCCTCCTCCTCCTCCTCCTCCTCCTCCTCCTCCTCCTCCTCCTCCTCCCTCCTCCTCCTCCTCCTCCTCCTCCTCCTCCTCCTCCTCCTCCTAGAGCGAAGACGAAGGCATACTGAAGATGCGTACATACGTATGGATCGAAACGACAGGGAAGCCCGGAGAGCTGGCGGGCCTGGAGGATGTAGCGGGAGCCGCAGGCGCCCCAGAGTGAGTTGTCCTCATCCTACGGTCGGGAGCCTCTCCATAGCGTGTCGCGGCAGCGGCCCCGGCGACACGCTGTGCCCTGCGAGCGGATTAAGTCATGAGCGTGCCGCTCTGCTCCGCAGGGCGGGAGGCGTGGGCAAGCTCGGGACGCTGACGATCGGGAATGGACGGCGTGCATGGCGTGTCGCGCCGAAGCGCCGCGGGCCCTAACCGGCGGAGCGACACGCCAAGCCAGAGCTCCTGACCGCGGGCCTGCCTGACCTCCCTCCTCCCCCGATGCCACGGTGCCGCCGCGGGGCGCCTCCGTGTCGCTCGCCAGCCCCATGATCGTGGCCTTCCCGGCCTCGACCGCGGCCTCGAGCGCGTCGATCTCCTCGCTGAGGCGCGTGCGGGTCACCTAGCGCGGCCCCGCGGCGGCCGCGCGGCCCGGCGCCTCCGCACCTCCGCTGGCCTCGCTGCCTTGGGCGCTGCCTTTTGGGCAGCGGCTCGGCGTCCTGCCCTCCCGCGGCCTCTCGCCGCAGGCAGACGCACGGCGGACCTGCAGCTTGGGCAGCTGCTTCGGCCTCGGGGGGCCCCTCCGTACACGCCCCGGGCGGGAGCCGCCCAGGACGGCCCTGGGAGGGAAAAGGCTGGCCTCGGGGGGGACAGGTCCACACCTCGAGTGGCCCTTCAGCTCCCCCGGCATCGAGAGCAAAAAGCAAAACTTTGGAAGTCTGGTTCCCTTCAGCGATGAAAGAAAAGCAGAACTTCGAGAGTCTGGGTCCCTTCCGCTCCCGACCTCCACCGACATGTGTTTGTCATTCCGCGGCGGTCCGTGGGATCCAGACGGATTCCCCCAAAGTACATGTCGCCCCAGATCCATCTTTCACGGCCCCAGGTTTCGAAAACAAGCCCCAAATGTCGAAATCGTGGAAACGCACGCCCATATTGAAGCACAATAACCGCGGGACATCAGGGTTCCTCCCACCTCGGCCCTCCCATCCATTGCCACCGCTGCCCGCCCCCCCCGGTGGCCGACGGTCGCCCCCGTGCAGCTGCTATTTCCTCACAATTTATTCAGATGCCGGTCCTCGACACTCAGGAATCGCACTCCCGCTACCATATTGCCTGGAGGTTCAATCAGGACTCGCGCTTCAACGACAGGCCCGCTCGACCCGCCCATCGGGGCCTGCCCGCCCGACCAGCCCGTTAATGACTGCAGTCGCCGCCCGCTGCCCTTCGCCCGCCTTCGATGCCCCTCGCTGCCCGTACTGGTTCCGCGGTCGCCTTCGCTCGCTGCCCTTCGTGGCCCCGCTGTCACCCTTTGTGGCCCCCTCGCAACCCTTGGTGGCCCCAGTGCTGCCCTCAGTGTCCCCGTTGTCACCCTTTGTGGCCCCGTGTACGAATGCCCTACGTGGCCCCCGCTCGCTCGCGCCCGTCGTGGCCCCATATGCATGCCCTTCGTGGCCCCGCTGTCACCCTTTGTGACCCCCTCGCTGCCCTTCGTGGCCCCAGTGCTGCCCTCAGTGTCCCCGCTGTCGCCCTTTGTGGCCCCGTGTACGAATGCCCTACGCTCGCTCGCGCCCGTCGTGGCCCCATATGCATGCCCTTCGTGGCCCCGCTGTCACCCTTTGTGGCCCCCTCGCTGCCCTTCGTGGCCCTGGTGCTGCCCTCAGCGGCCCCGTCGCTGCCCTCTGTGGCATGGGATTTTTGCCCTTCGTGGCCCACGCTGGCTTTTACTTAGGGATCGCGCTATCGCTCGAGACTTCCTCGCGATTCATGCAGGACCCATGCTTCAGCAACCCGCCTGCTCGACCTCGTCGCCTTTGCCCGACTTCCCGACCTGCCCGCTATGGGTCTGCCCACCCGATCTGCTCGTCTGGCTCTACCACTTGTTATCTGCTCCTTGCCCCCTCTCCTGCAAATTTCTCTCGTGCTCCATTCTTCTCCCTCTCCCTTCCACCCGTCTTCTCTTCCCTTGTTTCAGGGGCTGCACTACATGCGCGTGGCAGGTAAGGAACATGTGCCCCCAAGGAGGTACGATCGTAGACGGCGAGGGCGGGAACCGAGGGTTTGGAATATACGTATTGATTGGCACGTGAGCAGGTAGGAGCGAGCAGTCTTGAAATTATTGTTGTTGTTCATGTTGTTGTTGGGGCACCGCTTTCGGCGCCACTCCGAAACGCCTGAGCGTGAGCCTAAATTCCAAATGAGACGCAGCGGGCGCCGAGGCGAGAGCGCCAGTGTTTTCTCATAGCCTAGGAAAACCCAATGGCCTCTGGGAGTCTTGGATAAAAGCGGCGGGCATATCGAACGGGAGCGTCGTTGCTTGTAGGTGGGGCCGCTTGCGGCGATGGGGCGGGGGCGCGTGTCCTGAGAAAAAGGCAAGGAAGTATCGAGCGGCAGCAACGTTGTTGCGGGAAAGCCGGCTTTCGGTGGCGAGCAAGAGCCCTGGCCCCGAGTAGAAAATGAGGAAGGATCGAGCGGGAGCGCTGTTGTTGAATATTCATTTCTGGAGAATGATTATTGTTGATCTCTGGAAACGGTTCGCGCGCTCTCGCCCTGACGCCGGCTGCAATTCCTTTGAAAAGGAAGCTCCGCTCGAGCGCGGGCTTGATTGTAAATGTGTGCCTTTGGAGGCCCTACTAAAACAACAACGGTTCCTGCTCGATACTTCCTCACATCTTACTCCGAGACACCCTGACCAGAGAGACCCCTGAATTCTGGAACGGCGCTCTCGCTCGAGACTTCTTCGCAATCCAACCAAGTTGGCAGAGGCCAAGCCACGACAACAAGGGCTTCTGCTCGATACTTCCTCACAACTTACTCCGAGTGCCCCTGGCCAGGAAGGCCCCCGAACTCAGGAACGGCGCTCTCACTCGAGATTTTCTCGCGATTCAGTCAAATTGGTGGAGGCCCAACTACGACGACAAGGGCTCTCGATCGATACTTCCTCAAGGTTTACTCCGAGAGCCCCTCCCCTGGCCAGGAAGGCCCCCGAACTCAAGAGTGGCACTTTCACTGGATACTTTCTCGTACTTAAGGCAAGTTGGTGGAGGCCCAGACGCTGCGACAAAGGCGCCCGCTCGAAATTTGTCCATGTGTATCCCGAGAGCCCCTGGCTGGAGGCCCCCGAATTCCGGAACCGCGCTCTCGTCCGAGAGTTCCTCGCAATTCAGTCAGTGGCCGACAAGGAAGAGATTCCCTTCGAAAGGGGGCGCGATAGAAGACGAAGTGGGCGGGTATCGAGGCATAGGGTATACAGACTACAAGACGCGCGTGCCAGTAAGAGCGAACAGACTTTAAATGCTTCTGGCCGTTGTTGGGGAAACGCCTTAGCGTGAGCTTGTTCGAAGGAAATGCAGCTGGCGCCGCGGCGAGATCGCCACGGCGCCTCTAGGGGGTCCAAAGATACAGACTTTTAAATACTCGCGACTCAACAACACTCATTTCAAGAATGATCGCTCCTATCTGGCCACGTGCCACTTAACCAATCTATCCCTAACCCTCGATACCCGCTTGATTCGTCTTCGATCGTACCCCCTCGGGGGTATATCTTCCGTGCCTGCAGCTTGTATTTCGCGCATCCCCTGAAAATGGGAAGAGAGGACAGATGGAAGGGGGAGGGAGACGGATGGAACACGAGAGCAATTAGCAGGCAGGGGGCTAGGAGCAGAAAGCACGTGGCAGAACCAGACGGGCTGATCGGGTTGGTCAACCCTAGCGGGCGGGTTGGGAAGGCGGGCCCAGGCCGCCAGGTCGAGCGGGCGGGTTGCTGAGGCGTGAGTCCTACATCAATCGCGAGGAAGTAATGACAACAAAAACCAAAGCGAGAGCGTGTTTCCTGAGTGTCGAGGGCGCGGCGCCTGAATAAATTGTGAGGTTGTCCCACGCGAGAGCGCGAGTCCTGCATACATGATTAAGAAGTCCCGCGCGAAAACGTGATTTTGGAATGACCTGTGAGGAAGTATCCGGCGGGAGCCGTTGTTGTTTTATGTGAACAGGGGGCTAGGGGCACAATTTGAATACGACGGCTTTCCTTTATCAAAGAACAGGGTGCGAGCCCCTGCAGAAACACTTCACTTGAAAGAACAATGTGTGAGCCGGTGGGGTGATCAAGAATGATTATTCTTTCAAGAATGAGAATTCAACTGCAATAACAAAATCTGCAGCAACAGCAACAAACAACAACAACAACAACAACAACAACAACAACAACAACAACAACAACAACAACAACAACCATTACAAGACTGCTTGCTCTTACCGGCCCGCGTGCCATCCAACACGTTTATCCTATACTCTCGGTACCCGCCCTCTTCGTCTTCGATCGTACCCCCCTGGGATATTATCTTCCTTACCTCCTGGGTGTAATTTGCGCAGCCCCTGAAACAGAGGAAGAAAGGATGGATGGAAGGGGGAGGGAAAAGGATGGAGCACGGCATCCGCAGGAGGGGACCAGGAGCAGAAAACACGTAGCAGAACCAGACGGGCCCATCGGGCGGGTATACCCTAACGAGCGGGTCGGGAAGGCGGGCCCAAGAGCCCAGGTCAAGAAGGCGTGTTGCTGAAGCGTGAATGCCGCATGAATCGCGAGGAGAGCTCGAACGATAACGCGATTTCCAATCAAATCGTTAGAACAAACACAGGCGAGAGCGTGAGTCCTGAGTGTCGGAGGCACGGCGCTTGAATAGATTGCGAGGGGGTCCCACACGAGAGTGCGAGTCCTGCATACATTATGAAGAAGTCCAGTGCGAGAACACAATGTTACAATAACTGGTGGGGAAGTATCGAGCGGGAGCCACTGCTGTTGCAAACCGGGGGCCAGGGGCAAAGTTTGGTGACGCCCAGTTTTCCCTTATTACAAATGCGCGAAGCCCCGGCGGAACACTTCAATGAAAAAATACAATGGTCACCGGAGGGGGGATCAACAACACTTAAAGCAACAATAACAGCAACAACGCCACCACCACCACCAACAACAACACCAACAGCAGCGGCAATAGCAACAACAACAGCAACACTCACACCAAGACAGTTTGCTCTTACCTGCTCGCGTGCCATCCAAAACGTATATCCGAAAACCTCGATACCCGCCCTCTTCGTCTTCGATCGTGTCCCCTTCGGGGTATATCTTTCTTATCTGCAACGTGTGTTTCGTGCAGCCCCTAAGGCAGGGGAAGAGAGGACGGCTGGAAGGAAGGGGCAAGGGGCAGGCGGGTTGCTGAAGCGTGCGTCCTGCATGAATCGCGGGGGAGTCTCCAGCGATAGCGCGATTCCCCAATAAATCGTGAGGACAACCAGGGCGAGAGCGTTGTCGATGGCGCGGCGTCTGAACAAACTGCGAGGAAGTCCCACGCGAGAGCGCGATGCCTGTATACATTGTGAGGACGTCCTCCGCGAGAGCGCGATTTGGGAATACATTGCAAGGACATATCAGGCGGGAACCGTTGATTGTTGATGGAGTTCAGGCCCCAACAACGCAGTTTGGTGACACTTCTCTCTCCCGTGTGAAAAAACGAGGTGCGAGCCCCGTGAGAGCTCCAGCGATAGCGCGCTTCCCACTTACATAATGAGAAAAGCTACGGCGAGAGCGTGAGTCCTGAGGGTCGAGGGCGCGGCGCCTGAATAAATTGCGAGGGATTCCCGCGCGGCAGCGCGATTCCTGCATACATTGTGAGGATTTCCCACGCGAGAGCGCGATTTTGCAATAACTTGTGAGGAGGTATCGGGCGGGAGACGTTGTTGTTGTCGTCGTCATTGTTGTTGTTGCTAAAACCAGGGGGCAGGGGCACAGATTGGTGACACCCAGTTCTACTTTGTTAAATACGAGGGAGCGAACCTCGGGAAGAGCACCTCACTTGAACACAAAAGTTGCACCGGTGGAGAGGATCATCCATAATATTTTTCACGACTGGGACTTCGGCAACAACAACCATTCTGAGACTGCTCGCTCTTATCTGCCCGCGTGCCATTCAACACGTATAATCCCGAAACCTCGACAGTAGCCCTCTTCGTGTTCGACCGTGCCACCTTGGGGGTATATCCTTCTTACCTGCAACGGGTACCTCGTTCCCGTGAGGTAGGGAAAGAGAGGACGGATGGAAGCAAGGGACAAGGGGGAGGGAGGAGGATGGAGCACGAGAGAGACTAGAAGGACAGGGGCTAGGAACATAATGCACGTGGCAGAACCAGACGGGCGGATCGGGCGGGTAGGCCCCACCAGGCGGGTCGGGAAGGGGCGCCAAGGCGGCCAGGTCGAGCAGGCGGGTTGCTGAAGCGTGCGTCCTGCATGGATCGCGAAGGAAGCTCGGACGACAGCTAGATTCCCAAAGCAGTCGTCAAGAAATCCACTGCGAGAGCGTGACTCCTGAATGTCGAGGGCGCGGCGTTTGAAACGAGTGCAAGAAGTCCTAGGCGATAGCGCGATTCCTGAATCAATCGTGAGGAAGTCCCGCGCGAGAGCGCGATTTTGGAATGACTTGTGCGGGAAGTATCAGGCGGCAACCGTTGTTGTAGTAGTCCGGGGGCCAACAACGCAGCTTGAGGAGGAATATTTCTCTGATTAGAAATAAGGTACGAGCCCCAAGAAGAGCACTTCAATCGAAAAACACATCTGTTAGTGGATGGGTGAGCAACAGTAATTACTCTTCAATCGTGAGAGGTCAACAGCAACAACAGCTTCCAAACTCGTCGTACGTATCTGTTTGCGTGCCACTCAGCACGTATATCCCGAACCCTCGATACCTGCCCTCTTCACTTTTGGTCGTACCCCCTTACGGGTATCGGACCTGCAACGTGTATGTAGTCAGGGGAAGAGAGGACGGATGGAATGAAGGGACAAGGGGGAGGGAGGAGGATGGAGCACGAGAGAGAGTAGCAGGAGGGGGTCGGAGCAGAAAGCACGTGGCAGAACCAGGCGGGCAGATCGGGCGGGTAGACCCTAACGGGCGGGTCGGGCAGGCGGGCCCAGACGCGGGTTCGAGCAGGCGGATTGCTGAAGCCTGCGTCCTGCATGAATCACGAAGAAGTCGAGCGATAGCGCGATTCCCAATAAATCTCTAGAGAAGCCAAGTCGAGAGCGTGATTCCTGAGCGCCCCGAGGGCGCATCGTGTGAATCAATTGTGAGGAAGTCCCCCGCGAGATCGCGATTCGTATACAAATTGTGAGGAAGTCCCGCGCAAGAGCGCGACTTGGGAATACATTGTAAGGAGGTATCAGGCGGGGGCCGCTGTTGCTGTAAGGCGGGGGCCAAGGGCGCAGTTTGGTGACGCCTCGCTCTCCCTTGCAACAAACCGGGAGTGAGCCCCAGGAGAAGCACCTGAATTGAAACATACCATGGTTACTTTTTTTTCCGCCCCCCTCTCCCCTCTCCACACCACAACTCCCGCCGCCACGCACCGCCAGCGCCACCGCCCCTGGCCCGCCAGCGCCCACGCCGCCTAGGCTGGCCGCTGTCCAGGTCCGCTCCTCCTCCTCCTCCTCCTCCTCCTCCCTCCTCCTCCTCCTCCTCCTCCCTCCTCCTCCTCCTCCTCCTCCTCCTCCTCCTCCTCCTCCTCCTCCTCCTCCTCCACTTCCCGAGCGGTGCCCCTGACCTTCGGTATGAGGCCTGGGCCGACGCCCCCCCCCCCCCCCCGACGCTGCCCCTGTCTTCTTCGACCCTCCCTCTCCCCGATCCTGTGTCGGGGAGACGTTGGACTCGGGTTCGGGGGACTCGGGTTGGCCTGACGGTGCCATCAAGAAAACGACGAGACCTAGTCTGAAATTTGACGCGAGCTCCCGGTGCATGCCTCCCACGAAAGCTGGGCCGTCAGAAGCCAGGATGCGCTCGTCAAAAAGCGTCGGCAAACCCGAGTTCTGGCGCACTCGAGTTCTTTCGTTACCCCGATGTTCGACCTTGAACGACCTGCGGCCTATCTCTCGCAAGCTCCTTCCACATCGGCCGATCCTTGGCCACCGGCAGCGCGCAGCCTCAAACGCCAGCGGTGGGATCGCAGCCGCATCGATACGGCGCGAACCTACCAGAATGCGAATCATCCAAGAATTGTGCATCAGAAACACCCCTGGGGCCGAGCATAGCAAAGGTTTGAGCGGCCCAAGCTCGCCGGAGTCACCTCTCTCGACGTCACGTGAATCACAGCAGGCCGCGGCAAAAACTGAAACGTCGCAGCTCCGCAGACGACGCAGCCGCGAGGAAAACATAGTACACCTTTCGCCGCCGGGAGCGCTGTCCCGCCCCCCTTCCCCGAGGGAGCACGGGGGGGGGTCCTCCCTGCATCGTTCCAGGGCAAGCGTTGCCCCGCGAAGACACCGCTGGGCTGGTGCTTCTGACGGCGCGGGCGCGGGCTGGGCTCGGGTGACAGCCACGGCGCAGCGGGCACGCTGGGAGCCACCAGCCAGAGGGTAACAGATGGCCAGCACGACGCGGGAGAGAGAAGGGGGCGAGGGCGCAGCCTTGCTCTTGCCCATCTCCGTGTCGCAGAACCCCTCGTGGTCCGCGTCCTCCTTCGCCTCCTCCAGGAGACGCGTGATCATCCCGTCGATCCGCCGCCCCCGCCGACGGCGGAGGCACGTGGCGCGGCACTCGCCACGCGTCGCCCGCCGCCGTTCGGAACCCCGACATCCGATGCGTTTGCCTTGCTCCAGACGGGGTCCCCAGACGTCCCGACCCGGGTCGCTGCTTAAGGTCCCTGGGCCTGGCGAGGGCCCCCAGAAGCCGAAGACGGCCCGACGAACCTTCGGCCGTGATGCTCTCTAAGTGCGCGAGCATGTCTTGGACCGGGACAGAGACGCGTCCTAGAATAGAGGCCTCCGAACTGGGGTCCGAGTAGATGGGGTCGGAAGATCGCCGATGCATCGGCACATGCTTCGTCGTCGGCGATGCATCGGCGACGTCGAGGAGAGCATCGAGATCCACATCGAGCCGCATCGCCGATGCATCGGCGATGCGGCGCGATCCTCCGACCCCACCTGCTCGGACCCCGTTTGGGAGGCCTGCACAGAAACAGACCCGCGCCAGGCCCGCCAGGCCACCCCGCGAGACCAAAAGGCCTCCCTCGCACGTGCAGGGCGCAGGCATCGCGGCCACCCCGTCGAAGGCCCATGGGGAGGAGCCGATCCCTGGCAGGGCCCCTGCGCACCTGCCGCCCTGACGCGGTCCCCTGTGAAGTGCTCGATGTGATGGAGAGAACTGCCTGTCGAAGAGCTGCCCCGGCCAGCCCTCTGGCCAACCCTCTGGCCAAGAGGGTGTTTTTTCGCTTGCATGGCAATCTCATCACCCTCCCTCCCCTTCCGCCGTCATTTCAGACAGCGACGGGACGAAACATCGTGCAGGTGAGTCCCGACTCGCGTGAAGTCCAGGTGTTCTTTCGGGCCTTGCCACAGGAGCAAGGAAGCGCGACACCACCACCACCACCACCACCACCACCACCACCACCACCACCACCACCACCACCACCACCGAGGACCTCCAGCGGCAGGAGCCATGGGGGGGTCTCCATGGTGGTGTGGCCACCCCCCTCTCTCTCGAGACATCCCGCATCCCCAGCTCGGGGAGGCATGGGCCTGCTTGCTGGAGGTGGCTCCCCTGGTGGTGGTGGTGGTGGTGGTGGTGGTGGTGGTGGTGGTGGTGGTGGTGGTGGTGGTGGTGGTGGTGGTGGTGGTGGTGATGCTGGTGGTGGTGGTGGTGGTGGTGGTGGTGGTGGTGGTGGTGGTGGTGGTGGTAGTGGTGGTGGTGGTGGTGGTGGTGGTGTCGCTTCTCCTCCCCCCGACGCCGCGCCCCCTCTTTCACCTCCCTCCACGCAAGTAAACTCGCCATAATCTGAATTTCGTGAGGATCGATCGAGTCTGAAAGCCGGCGGCCCTGGAGGATGTCTCGAGCGCCGTGGCCTGCTGGGCCGTAGGGCCCCTTCGGGCCCGACAGCTGCGCGCAAGCGCGCGCGCGTGGCAATTGACTCTCAACGGAGAATCAAGTTTCGTATCCCTGCCAACCTGGCCTCCTTATCGGCCAGAGGTGGACAGCACGATAGACAATGGGAGAAATGCCATCAGACGGATCTCCAACCACGCGACCTTTTCCAACCAATTTCCCTGGACACCAAACAAGTTTACTTGAGCAGGGACCGACCGTCCCGGCACTCCTATAGTCCTACCACGAAATGTTCTTAGAACCCAAAAATGTTCTAATAGCAAAAACAATACTCTGATAACATAAAGCCGAGGTGATAAAACAAGACAGAATCCCCCAGGCATGTTCTAAGAACATGCCGTGGAAACCACAAAAGGCTCTTAGAACATGTGTTGGTAGGGCTATAGGCGAGCCAGGACGCGTCGCCACTGCTTGCTTTACGTCTGTGGAGAGCGCCCTCCAACCCTCTTGCCGACCCTCCCAGCCGAGCCTCCCAGCACCCCCCCCCCGGCAAATCCCCCCGACCGGGGCCCTCGCTGCCCGAGGGGCGGGCGAGCTCGCCCCTGCATGGCAACAGGAGCTCTCCCCCACGGTCCCCTCGCCATCGCTCGGACGTCTATTCCCTGCTTGTTTTTCGGTGTTTTTTTTTTCGCAGGATGATCCAGAACGCTCCTTAATAATCCCCGCCGAGGAGAAGTGCACACGTCCGAGCGATACCCAAGTCCCAGACATCGGTACTCCAGATCCCAGACCCCCTTGAGTCATGAAAAAAACCACGCTGGAAGGCTTTTCGCTATTTTCAGCCTCCAGGGGCCCTTGCAGGGCCTCGGGACCGTCAAGGGACGACTCGGGCGTCTGGGTTTGCGTTGCCACCAGGAGGTCTGGATAACCTCCCCCGGGCCAGCGTGCCGTCCTGGACAATTGTTCGGCGGCCTCGAAAATAGCCAGAAGTCGGACCCGCTTCGGCTTGTCCGGACCCCCGGCTCTCTCGGGTGCAGACGCCTTCCCCCTCACCCCGCCCCTGGCGTGAGCCCCCCGCCCCCCCGCCAGCTGGCACGAAGATGCAAGAGGACTCGAGCTGACCCCTACCCTCAATTCGGGGGCGCGCAGACATGTATTAGCGATCCAAGGATCGGGGGAGGTGCCCTCCCCAAAAATACGGCCGGTGCCGCCTCGCTCGGCGGCGGAAGTCCGCGATTTCCCATGGAAACGCGACCCGTCGCCAATCCACGCCCCCCTGGATTGCGATCGCCTGATCAATACAGACAAGTCCAGAGGGAGCCCTCAAGATCGGCATCGAAAAACGGCGATGCCAGCCCAAGCGAGACGGATATGCTTCTGGCCGGTGAGCAGGCGGGGTCATGACGGAAAGCTGGTCCTGGACCGCAGGGCCGCTTCCCTGGGGCCAGCTCTTCTCGAGGCCTCCCAGATTTGTTCGGAGCGCATGGGGTCGGAGGGTCTCGCCGATACATCACCCCATGCATCGGCGATGCATCGGCGACGTCGGCGATGCATCGCCGCCGTCGGCTTGAACAAAAATCGGGCTCTACATCGAACCACGTCGCCGACGCATCGTCGATGCGGCGTGATCCTCCGACACCACACGCTCGGGCTCCACTCGAGAGGCCCACACCTTCACCCGAGCCGTCTTTGGGGGCGCCCCTGGGGGCCCCCGGAGCGGCCCCTGCGGGGAAGCCGGAGAAGAAACGGCGAAAGGCATGGGCGCTCGCGGGGCTGCCGCCGCTGGCAACATCCTCACACATTCGGGATCCTGGGCCGGGTCTTGCCGCCTGCTTCCCTACGCTGACTCGGCGTTTTGCTGGCCAGCCTGGACGCCCACGTACTTGCCGCCAGAACCGCGTGTCCGGGTGGTCGCCAAGGAGGGGGTCCCAGGAAGAGGCGGGTTCGGGCATCATGTGGCCCGAGGAACACGTTCGGAAGAGGGGGGCGGGGGCCAGGGAACGCACTGGGAGAAGAACAAACAACTAGAAGAAACAAACATCACGATAATATCAATCACAATATTCATAATCATAATAACAACCCGAATGATAATAAAAATAATAATGATAAGAAGGATCCGGATCATGAGGGGCAGAGGGGGCTATGAAACCTGTGAGATACAATTGTCCCGGACATGACACCCACGCATCTCCAGTCCTCATCCCCCGCTTGGACGCCCCCGGGCTGCACGAAGAGGGCAGGGACTTTCTGGAAGAGAGGATTTGACGTGCAGGATGTGCAGGATGTGCGATCAAGATTTGCCGCTTAGCGTGTCGCCGCCGCGGTCCCCGCGACGCGCAATGCCGTGTAAGCGGATAGCGTTTCGCTCCGCTGCGCAGGGCGGGAAGCTTCGAACGGCTCCGGACGCTGACGCCTGGGGACCAGGAAGTGGATAGCGTGTCGCACCGAATCATGGTGGGCCAGATCGGGCGGCGCGACACGCCAATCCAAAGTTCCTGACCGTAATGGGGAGCGTTGGTGCCTGGCTGAGGCTCCTCTCCTTGTCCTCAGCGGCGCGAGGGTGGTGGCTGCGGCTGGAGGGGCGGCCTCACCTCCGAGCCCCCCATGTGGAATCTCTCCTCGAGCTCGGACACCCCCACGGTAGAAACGCCTGCCGGGCCCCCTCCAGAGTTGTGCGCTTGCTTGCGTCGAGGCACGCCGCACGTCCTCGCCTCTCCTGGCCAGTGGCTCCCGCAGGAGGCTCTGAGCCCGAGCATGCTGCCGACACCAGTCGGCCCCGCGCCCGCGGGGAGGCGCGGCGGGTGACCCGGCGGGGTCGGCGGCAGCCTCCCGCCTGAGCTTCTTCACTTTTGCAAAGGGATCCGCCTCCACCGGAGGGGCATGGCCAGAACGGGCGAGAGAGGGGAACGGGCAGAGTCACGGCGGTGGAGCAGGACGGGCGGGGGGTGGAGCTGGATGTGGAGGTAGGGGGGGGGGCGCGCTGCTGCTGACAGCGCCGTGAAAGATGCAAGCGTGATGCAGTGGAGGGAGCGGGAAGAGAACGCGGCCGAACATCGAAACTCAGTATACGCTACTCTACAAAACTCAAGACAGAGAGGAGAAGGTATAGAAGAGAGAAGAGAGAAAGAGAGAGAGAGAGAGAGTGACAGAGAAAAAGAGAGGGAGAGAACGAGAGTGAGAGAGAGAAAAAGAGAGAGAGAGAGAGAGAGAGAAAAGCAGAGAAAGAGAGAGAGAGAGAGAAAGAGAGAAAGAGAGAGAGAGAGAGAAACAAAAAAAGAGAGAGGGAAAGAGAGATAACAAAATAAGGCACGAACAACATCGTCGACCACTTGCTGCAAGCCAGGGGAAAAACGGGCAGTAAGGCAGGAAGGCGGCTCTATCAAACAAAACAAAGGATGAGCACAGCGCCCTTCCGATGAGGCAGAGACTTCCCGGCACGATCAAACACCACTCTCCACGACGACGACGCCCTCGAGCCGGCCTGGAACCCAATCTGTCAACCGCCGCCGAGGGCCCTGCTGCGACCCTTCGAGGGCCCGAGGGTGCCCGGAAGCAGAGGAGGCACGGAGCTCCCGCCGCCCGGCTCGCCCTCGAGCAGCCCCGCCCGGACGGCGGCGCACCGGCTCGGAGCGGCGCCGCGGGCGGGGCACCGCGGGGGCACTGGACAGAGGACCCCCCCTCGGAAAGGGTACAGTCGGGGCGTTGACGTAAGGAACCCTAAGTAAGGAACGAGGCCCCTTTGTCCAACAAGTTAAACGTCGATTTCCTATGGAACAACTCAGGACAACCTGAGGCAAACTGTTAAACAATCAAGAACACCGAGCCCCTCCCCAACGAAAAGGGTTCCTTCTTCAGCGCCCCGACTGGATCCGAGGTGCGGCCTGCTGCTCGAGTCACCGAAGTGCTCCGGGATGCGGGCCGTGTCCTGGGCATCGACAAGAATGGTGTCCCTGATCTCTGAGCGCTTCTGGGCGCTCCGGGAGCTCGTTTCGTGGCATGTCTCGCGGCTTTGGAAGCACGCTTGGGGGCCCACACTTCCAGCATGGTCCAAGATGGTCCGAGGGCCCATCCGTTGGATCACCAATTGAGGCTTGGCCATGGGTACAACCGCTGCCCTCATCAGGTAAGGAGTCCTCCACGGTAGCAAAGGGGATCAGCGAATCAGCTGCGCGCGGCTGGCTTTTCCAGCGCCTCCTGGCGCTGGGGGCGGCCAACGCATCGAGGCCCGAGCCAACTTCATGCAGCAGATGTCGTGTACCCCGCCTCTTCGGCCGAACCCCGAGAGAGGCGAGACGAGAGAGGCGGGCGGGTCTGGCCGCGATCTTGTCCGCCAGGGCCGACAGCCCCTTGCTCTTCAGCCTGTGGCCCTCCTGCCGTGGCAGTCCGAAGGCTGCCCGGAGCGACAGGCAGATCGAATCCCCAGCGTTCGGTTGTCGACGATGGAGCCCTTGTTATCCACCAGCCCTGGGCGGTCTTCGGCGGTCTTCTGGCGTTCTTCGGAGGTCTTCGGCAGTCTTCGTCGGTTTCTGGCGGTCTTCGGCGGAAAGCTGGATACTTGCGGTTAGCAAGGGGACAGTGATCGAGCACCTAACCCAGCGTGATCGAGTTGGTCGAAGCTGGATGATTGATTGGAGGGAGAATCACGTCGTCCTTCTTGTGCAAAGGATGTTTCGCGCTCCCGCCGGAGCGCCCCTCAGCCAAAACTCTGCGACGGCGAGCTTTCAACGGGATGGCGGCAATGATCTCACTGAAAGCAAAGTATCTTGCCTTCAGTGTGCCCATTGCCGCCGAAAACTGTGCCGTCAGTAAGCTCATCGAATCGTTTCCACTCTGTGGAGGACCGCTTGGGGTTGCACGGCTGAAACGCTTGGTGGCACGCGTAGACGCTGGTCGGAGGACACCAGCTACACGGCACTCCCGATCCTGGCCAGAGCCCCCCTCAGCCCAGGATGGGCCTGGACAGAATCGGTGTTGGTGCACAGCTGCCGACTGCCCCCCCCAGTCCGGACTGCACAAGCTGTCGGAGGTCTGCGCGGGCTTCTGCGGTCGGCGCTGGACCCCCTCCCCGCGCCCCCGTCCTGGGCGCGCGGGCGCGCACAAGGGGCGGCGCCCGAGACGCCGCCGGACAGACACACAGACAGACAGAAGCCCTACGCCCAGGGCGCGTCGGCAAGCGCACTCCCATACACTACCCACACTTCTCACTCAATGTACGTCCCCAAACGTGAGGGTCCTGAACAAGATCCTGCAATCTGTCTCCTTCCCCGCCAGGGGTGTGGGAGGGGCACAACGCCGACCGGAGGTGGGGAGGGCAGGAGTGCCCAGACTCGAAGCGAGAAGTCGGATCGTCCATCGAAATGGATCAGATCGGCGGGAATCGGCAGCCGAGCAGGGAAAAGTCGAATCGGGGGAAATCGGCTGGCTAGTATGCCTCCAGGGAAAGCTCGTAGTCGGAATCGGAATCCCGAGCCGAATCGGATCGGAATCGGAAGCCACAGAAGTCGAACCGAATCGGATCGGAGGAATCGAGACGAGCCCTGCCGAAGGTGGGCAGGGGGGTGTGAGAAGGGGGGGGGGGCGCTCCGTACAGCTGGCTCGGCGCGTTTAGGCCGGCGCTCAAACGATCTCTTGTCCTCAGGTCGTGCACATGCACATGGGTGTGTCGAGCCAGCGAAGAAGGATCGGTTGCAACGCAGACAGGTACTGTATCCTCTCTCGTCAGCTCGAGCTTGCTTCAGGAGGGAAGGGGGGGTGGGCACCTCCAAAAGCTTAGGCGCCCGCTGCTCTCTTGGCAGCCGGCACCTCGATCTCGCCCGCCTTCGCGCGCCGCGCCCCGCGGGGGCGCGAGGCGCGGCCACGTGCGCGCCCTCGCGGGGCACCTCCAGAAGTGTACGTGCTCGGTGCGTTTTTGGCAGCCGGCACCTCGATCTCGCCTGCCTTCGCGCGCCGCGCCCCGCGGGGGCGCAGGGCGCGGCCACGTGCGCGCCCTCGCGGGGCCGCCCTGGAGTAGGAGGCGCCCCTGTCGGGCCCAAGCCGCAACGCGGGAAGCGTGGCTGCAGAAGAAGAAGAAGCAGGAGGAGGAGGATGAGGAGGACGAGGAGGAGGAGGAGGAGGAGGAGGAGGAGGAGGAGGAGGAGGAGGAGGAGAGGAGAAGAAGAAGCCTCGCCGAGATAGGATCTGCAGTGTCCGCGTGGCTTTCTCGGATCGGCGGCGCCGATCGTCAGAGGGCACCGCGAACATGAAAACGTTCGGAGGCCCGCACAGATGTGTCCGCGGTCGGCGCTGCGCCAATGTGGACCCCAAACAAAGCTTCCCCGCAGTGCGTGTGAGGTGCAACCTGGGTGGTGCAATCGATGTGGTGCAACGTTAGATGGGGCAACCCATGTGGCACGAACTATGTGGCGCAAAGATATGCAAAGCAGCGCCAAGCAATGCGAACCAAAGCAAGGCAATGCAACGCAGTACAAAACAGCACAGAGCAAATCAAAGCGATGCAAAGCAATGCAAAGCAGAGGAATGCAAATCAGCGCAAAACAGTGCAACGCAATGCAACGCAATGCAAAGCAATACAAAACAGTGCGAAAAGCAACGCAGCGAAATGCAACGAATAGCAATACAGTGTAAAGCTAAGTGAAGGAATGCAACGCAACGCTAAGCAGTGCGAAGCAATGACAAGCAATGCAAAGCAACGCAAAGCAATGCAACGCCATGACTGCGAGGCAATGCGACTTCAAAGCAGCTTCAATGCAAAACAGTACGATTGCAACGCAATGCGATTACAATACACTGTCCAAACGACGGGCGGCGATGAGGCGGCGACAGCGGCCACATGGTGGCCAGAGCGGACCGCAGACCCGGGCGACGGACGGCGACGGGTGGGAACGAGGCGGCGACGGCGGCCACATGGCGGCCAGAACGGACCGCAGACCAAGGCGACGGGCGGCGACGGGCGGCGACGAGGCGGCGACGGCGGCCAGAGAGGCCCGCAGGCCCTAAGTGCAAGCACTGCTTGGGATACATGATACAGGGGGCCCTGGGGACTCCCCATATTTTCCTATATGTTGTAGGTTTTCTTTCGTCTTACCCCCCACTTCCCATCTCTTCCCATATCTTCCTGGGAGTCGGCGATTCATTGTCTGTGTGATTCTTCCCCCGCCTGAATGCAGTGCGACGGGATCGTGAGGATGCGCGATAGGGATGCAAAAATCCGCTGGACGCCCAAAATCGAAGCCGAAGCCAGAAGCCCAAGCACCCACGGCTACTCAAGGTCGGGCTCGGCCGAGAGGCGAGGATGCAAGTGGTTACCCTCGGGAAGATGGTGAACGTTTTCTTATCCGGCGTTTCAACATTGGGCGGAAGGGGGGGGGAGGGGGGGCAAGGATGCAAGTGTACCTTTGGGAAGATGGTGAGCGTTTTCTTATCCGGCGTTTCGACATTGGGCGGAAGGGGGGGAGGGGGGTCTGGCTCCGGGCCTCTGCTTAATGCTACTGTTTGCAACCCTGCGTCCATTATGGAGGGGTCTCCGCCTACATGAAACAGGCGCCAAAAACAGCCAAGATCTACTCCATGGGGGGGGAGGGGGGGCGAGGGCCCGCGCCGATCGGCAAAGCAATGAATACGAAAACTACGACATACTCATCCTTATGATCCTGTTTGACTGTCGCGTCGTGCACCTGGGAGTGACCCGGCCCAGGACACGCATCACCGATCCGACCGCATGGGGGAACGATAGGGAGGGACCAGGCCACGAGAAGAACACAACGACCTGGAATCGGCGATGCATCGCCGACAGATCGGCGGTGTATAGGCCTCCGATGGAAAAAGGCGAACGTTCCTAGGGCGGGGTGCGCTATCAGGCCCCTATCGGCGATCAAAGGGTGGTTGGGAGTCGATGCATCCCCCTGCGCCCATTCCCCCTCGAACGTTCCCCCGTGGTTTTCGTGGCACAGATCGGTTCGCCCGCGGCCGCTCGGGAAGATCCGGGCACCCGAAGAACGCTCTCGGGGAGGCGCAGAGGGCACCCCGAGGCCGGACAGCCGCCAAGAACCGCGACGCATACGCCCGAAAACCTCGAACCTCGAACCTAGAGATCTAACTGGGGGAACAAGAACCGCTACTCCCCAGGGTGCGTTCTGACTAGAATCTTGAGGCCAATCCCGCGGTGGCGACGAGGGCCGCCCAGGAGGCCCAAAAAGAGGAAAACGGGAGAAAGGGTAGCGGCATGGGTACCTGCTCCTCCTCCTCCGACTCATAACGCTGCCCCTCTGTGGCACGCATCACCCAACCGACCGCACCGTGGGCGGCCCCGTCCTGCTGGAGAAAGTCGCGGACCCTCCTGCGGATGCCCAGCTCCCGCGACTGAGCGCTGGAGCGCGAGTCCGCCTCGCGCACGGCGCTCCGCTCCGCCCCCCCCACCAAGGCCTGCGCGCCAGGGCCCTCCCTCGACCCCCCAGACCCCAAGAACGAGCATCGCCTTCGATGATCGACGGAGTTGGCATCTCTCTTCCTCGGCGGAAGGTCAGCGGAAGGTCAGCGGAATCTGGCGGAAGTAAAACGAGGCCGCCTCCGCTGGCGGAAGGCTGGCGGAAGCCAGCGGCAGTTCAAGATGCGCCCCCGAGAGATGACAACATTGTTTGCTTCAGGAAGTCCGGGATCACGACGCGAAGTTTCTACCCGTTTTCTGCCTCCTGGGGCCCTCACGGGGCCCCAGGACCGTCAAAGATGACTCAGGCTGAAACGCTGGTCACGCTGTGGCCGCGCTGTGACAAAGTCATGTTGTGAAAAAGCCACGTGACAGAAAGGTCACGTGGGGGTCCACGTTGGGAGAACGTCTCGCTGTGAGAACGCCACGCTGGTCGCCGAGGTCCAGACCTTTTTGTGGGAGGGGGCCACGCTGCGACAAAGTCACGACGTCGGGGCCTGGGCCTGCCCCCAGAAACCTGCCTCTCGGGCCTGAGCTGGGCCGAAATCGCGCAATCGCTTTGGATCGCAAACGGATCGGCTCGCGAATTTGGACGCCCGAAATGGGTACCGAAAGAATGGGTACCATGCCCAACAGCAAATGTTGCCCCAAACCAACAGCGGCCGCTGTTGGGCAGGCGGCCTCCTGTCTCGAATGGACACCGGCCGCGGCGGCGTGGACAGCGAGCCCTGTTCAAAATGAACAAGATCCGCTGTTGGGCATTGCACCCATCCTTTCAATACCCATTTCGTGCGTGCAGAGCGGACGAGCCGCCTCGAGTCGGATTGGAATCGGATCGGCGCGCCCGGCTCCGGCTGGCCCCGGCCGATGCCGGTGGACCGGACCGGCTCGGAGTCGCGGGCCCAGCGGGCGAATCGAGTCGTGCGGGATCGGGACGTGGGCGGATCTGCCTCGCCCACTCCTCCCCTCCCCTCGCCCCCTCTCCCCCCCCCAAGCCCCCATTCATGCCACACCTGGTTGACCTGCGCGGGCAACTCCCTGGAGGTCTTCGTGGGGACGGGTGAAGGGATGGCTGCAGCAGACGCCGTCAACTACAGCGCTGGGGCCAGCGCTGCGGAGGCTCTGGAGTCGTACGATATTGTGCGTGCACGGTAGAATACCCGCCACCGTGCCTCTGGGCACGGAGTGGGCGTGTCCTTAGGTCGTTTGCCTAATTCCTGGAGCCTCAACCCTCAGTCCTGAGGAGCTTTAAGGAGCCCGGACCCCAAATTCCAAAGGTTGGCGGGGCTTCCCGCGGTTCCCCTGGGCTCCCCCGCGGCTTGTCGCATGACTTTTCGAATCCAAGACGGCCCCAAGACGAGCCCAGAAGGCCCCGAGCGGCCCCAAAGAGGCCCCCAAGGCTGTCGTTCTCGCACATTTGGCTTCCCGACGCTCCAACACGGCCCAAGAGGCCCCCAAGACCACCCCAAAACGGCCAAAGAGGTCCCAAAGAGGGCCCCAAGACAGCTAAAGAAGGCCCCAAGACGGCCTCAAGAGGGCCCAAGGGAGGGAACACGAACCAAAGACCTAGCTTTCCGCCCCAAGAGGCTCCCAGGTGTCCCCAACAGGCGCTCAGGAGGCCCCAGGAGGCCACTAAGAGGCCCCCAAGAGGCCCAAAGAGGCCCCCAGGCGTAAAAGAGGTACCACTCAAAATGGCCCCCAAGATGCCTCCAAACTGCCTCCCAGAGGTTTTCCGAGAGGCCTCCCACAAGATCCCACCGAACATCCAATAGGCTTCATACCCACAACCCAGGCACGGTCGCGAGATAGGCCGACGGTCATTAGATAGACTGTAAATCACTGGTGCCTCCAACAATGAAAGGAGCACCTCCCCTCCTGCCATCTCTCCTTCTCCTTCCTGCTCCACCCACTAGACAACTCCATTCCCGGGTAAGTACAGAGACTGCGACAAGCACTTGCGTGCATACGCACGGTGAGCATGCGCCATGACTCACGTGGACACGCAGATATGTGGAAGTCTGCACGTTGCCAACAAATCCACGGGAGCCTGCGGGGAGGATAAAACGTACCCTGACAATGCACCCAACCCTTGCGCAACGCATGCCTAGAATAGCTGGGCAGACTTTACAGGGGTTGTAGAGTGGGAGGGAGTATCTGTCCTGCAAACAGTATGCGAGAGGATCGCGAGGTGTGCGGCCCGCAAGACACCGATCACTGGACACGGGCTTGATGGAGGTCATTAGATAGTTCCCTGGGTCGAGGGGAAAGCGGGGCGAGGACTGAGAAAGGAAGGCGGATGGGGAGTTTGAAACGTAAGCGGGGCAGCAGCACGGGGACATGGCAGCAGCACGAGAGTGGAGACAAAAGACGGTCTGAGGAAGGATAGAGATGATGTTTCGAGGTATGCCAGCAATCGGCCCTCGAAAGCGGTGACAGCTTCGCGGATCGCAGCCCCCCAGAAGGATGCATAGGTCTAATCTGAATCCGCGCACGGCTTGAAAGGCGTTCGCGTGAGCGGAAAACCCCTCACTCCGAACACTTGTAACGTCCAAAACCCAGAGAGAGGGGGGGGGGCAGTCCTGAGCGCGTGAAATTCATCGGGGGGGCGCTTGCAAGGACGCTGGGGAAAGAAGGAACGAGTAGGGATCGGCGCTGGGCCCTCCTCCCTGCCGCGCGGAGCGCGACAAGGCCGGCGCTGGAGGCACCACCAGGGGGGTCCAGCGCCGATCCAAGAGATCCGCGCGGAGCTCCGAACGTTGATGTTCAGAATTTGTTCTTCTTCAACTTGCACGATCTGCATCTGTTCGATCCACGCCAGATCGTTCCATGTTGGCCGATTGCCACTCGCGGTGTTTCACCCTGAACGCCGAAGGCGTATGGCTAATGCATGTTTTGTCCTTCGAATCATGCTTCTCCTCAGGAGGAGGCCCCGAGATCCCGTGGCCCCGAGGTGGCCCCAAAAAGCCTCGACCCATTCCCCCCTTCCTCCTGCGCCGCTGTGCGACACTCCAGAGGCCCGGCCAAGGCCCCCCAGAGCCCGAAAATGCAGCAGAACCTTCCGCCGTGATGGTTCCAGGACTCGAGGGGGTTAGGGCTCCCGGGGCGCCCCGTGCGGCCCCGCGGGGGGCCCTCCGAGAGTTGCCCGAGCGGCTGCCCTGGCCCGCACGGGCCGGCAGGCGCGGCGCGGCCCAGGGGTCGCTGCCGCGCCTGCCTGCGGTGCGCGACCCCTGCCGCATCGCCCGAAGGCCCTGAGCCATTGGCTGGCCTCGCAGCGGTAGGGTCAGGGCACTGGGAAAGGATCCCTTGGGCAAGGAACCATTGGGTCTGGAAGCCGGCGGAACTCCGATCCTGGAATGGCCATGGAGAGCACAACCGCCATCATCCTGAGATAAGGCATCCTCCAGGGTCCGATGCATCCCGGGCGCTTGTTCTCAACGAGCGCCCCCACCGTGCGGCGATCCCCCCCCCGCGAGGGCCCCTTCTGCGAAAACGCTATCCCCCCTGCGAGGGTGCACGCTGTCCCCCTGCCGGGCCCCCTCGGTGCGCGCTCTCCTCTCAAGGGGGGGAATAGCGAGAAGCAGCTGGGCCGGCGGCGCCACGTCGCATGCTGTCTTTGCGACGCCAGCCGTAAGCGAGTCACCATCTCCACCGAGTTGCGGGGGAAGTGTGGGCGGGAGCGCCGCTCCTGAGAGTCTGTTGGCCTCTCTGGCCAGAGCGTCTCGGCAGAAGCTGTGAGGAAGTATAGAGCGGGAGCCGTTGTCCTCGTAGTCGGGCCTTCGCTAGCAGCAAGAGGAGCCAGCAACGAGATAAACGTACGGTCGTGAACTTTTGCGTAGCGGGTCGCCACGGCGGCCCCAGAGACACGCTATGCCCTGCGAGCGGATAGCTTGTCGCTCCGCTGCGCGGGGCGGGAGGTTCGGGAAAGCTCGAGACGTTGACGCTTGGGGACCAGGAAGAGGATATCGTGTCGCGCCCAAGCGCGGTGGGCTAGAACCGGCGGAATCACACGGTATCCAAAAGTTCCCGACCGCAAACGTGAGCCTTCGAAGACTCTTCCTCGAATCATCACTGCGAGTGGCCCCTGCCTTTGGCCCCTGCCTGGCCGTCGGAGGCGGCCTCCGAAGGCCTCCGCGGAGGCCTCCAGGGACCTCAGGGGGACTTCAGGACATCAAGATCGAGGGCGGGAGCAACACCAGCCGAGTGAAAATGACGCTTCTTCCTTTTCTTCTCCACCGATGCCCGTGAACCCATCTGTACTGAACTGCCAACCCCTACGCTCCGTCCTGGCCCCTTCTCCCGTGCTGGAATTGTTGCCTCACCCCTGCCTCTTTCAATGGCGTCGGCACCCCAATCCGAAGTCACCTTTGCTAGAGTAACCGCCTCCCCTCCGAGGTCCTAGGCTGTGGCCACGGGCTCTCTTCTCAGCCGCCCCATGCAGCTCAAGAGCCGCCATCAACAGTCCATACCGATGACAGGCAATGGCGCGATGGCGTGCGAGGGAAGCCCTCCCCCCCACGCACTGCCCTGAGATCCGACGTCGCGAAAAACTGCCCGGAGATCCGACGTCGCGAAAAAGTTGCAGCATCGTGAAGCACCGCGAGCGGAGCCCTGGACCCAATCGACATGTTGGATTGCTCGAACCTGATCGATCTGCGATGGTCCTTGGGACGGATGAAGAAGCCCAGCGTGAACTGTCACGCCCGGATCTCAGGGTGTGCACCGCGCGAAGATGGTGCCATTTTTTTCATCTCGCCTGGGCGCTTTTGGCCCTCACGCCCGCGCCGAAGAGCGGCTCGGCGGTCGAATCGCTCCACGGGCCGGCGGCGGCGGCCAGCGACCCCGTCACGCGCCCCCCGTCAGCTGGGTCCTGGTCTCCTGCTCGGGGTCGTAATCCGCTGGTCGCCATCGGGGCGCACGACGGCGAGCGGGGACCGCCACGGACCAGGCAGTCGATGGGGGC